TGAAAGGAACCCGAGCAACATCCCAAAGGTCGATACTTTTCATTTCTATGGGGAGAGAGTCTCAGAATGGCTAGAGCGGGTGGAACAAGCTTTGGTCGGGTGGCCGGATGTTGTAAAGTTTCAACGCATCCTTCAGTATGTCCTCCACAACTACCATAAGGAGGTGAAGAAAGTCATAGAAGCAGCCCAAGGTAGCTGGGAGAGATTCAAGGAGGGGATGCAGAGGAAATACCGCCTGGGAGACGGATTGTTGACTACCGCGGACCTTGAAGCGATGAACAAAGATGATTTTACGATGATAGGGGCCTTTGTACAAGAATTTAAAAAGAGGGCGCGGAAGGTCCATGGGATTTCAGAGGAAGCACAGTGCGCCATCTTCCTGGGGCTACTCACGGCAGGAGGCCGTCGAGTTGACGAGACATGGAGGAGGTAGCACTAAGCTCACCTAGTCCACCATTGATAGAGGGGTGGAAGAAGGATGTTTGGACCAGGTGGAACAACGTCAGGTACGCCTGCAAAGACAAAAGAGAAAGGAAAGAGATGCGACCGCTTCTGGGACCCCGGGAGTAACAAGGATTGTTACAGACGTATTGACACAGCTAGGGTATGCGACGGAGCCGGTGATGCAAAGGAGGGTGGTGACGGCTGTCAAAGTGAAAGGAAAGGAGCCAGTGAGGGAGGAGGCTGTTCAGGAGGAGCTCTGGGAAGAGGAAGAGCCGGTGCCRCAGCACCTGACAAAGGTCCAGCGCAAAGTGCGTAATTTGGCGCAGGGCGGACAGGGATCAGGAAAAGCGCAGGCACCTCAGACCCAGGCAGTAGCCCCTTTAAGTGTGGCGGCTCCATCATCTAGTACGGGCCCCTCGCAAGGTGGGGCGCCCTCCTACGGACAGTGGCCCTGGTCGGTGATCAATGCGATTATGCCGTGGGGAAGCCCGCCGCCAGTAGCCGGACCGCAAACGAGTATGCCGCCACCCATCTACCCCGCGGCCCAGGCCCAACCTGTGGCCCCGCCACCGTCACCTGATCCCAGTTCACAGGGCAGTGTTGTAGGAGGAGGGAATCAGGGGCAAGGCAATCAAGACAACGGAGGTAGGGGTGGAGGAAGGGGCCGAGGCAGGAATGGCGGCGGAAGAGGAAGGCAACGGAATGGCCAAGGCCAGGGGTACCAGGGCCAAGGGGGCCAAGGCCAGGGGTACCAGGGCCAAGGGGGCCAAGGCCATGGGTACCAAGGCCAAGGGAGTCAAGGCCAGGGGTACCAAGGCTAGGGCTATCAAGGCAAGGGGTATCAAGGCTAGGGGAATCAGGGAAGTCAGGGGTATGGAAGACCCCGTTTTGACTGGAGGACGGCCATTTGTCAACATTGTGACCAGCAAGGCCACACTATAAGGTTCTGTAATATAAGACGGGAAGACGAGAGAAGCGGACTGATTTCCTCTACTATGGATGGGAATATCTAYGATCAGTTTGGGGAGGCCATCGACAGAAGGCTCGGAGGAGTAAGGGCTGAAGCCCAGCGAAGAGCGGCAGCTGGGCCGCAACCCCCTGCCATGTTCAGGCTATGGCAGAAAAAGGTGGAACCACCGATTGGGGAGGAGGAAGTAGGGAGTGATGAGGAAGTGGTTCAAAGGCTACTAGGAACGAGTAAGAAGAAAGAGCCAATAATCATTGAGGCAGAAGACGAAAATGAGGAGGGAAGAACGAAGCCTCCGTCCGTCTTATATGGGAAGATGGAGGACCTGCTGGATAAGATGGGGAGGTACCAACGGAAGCTGGTGGGCCCCTGTGAGGAAGTGAAGAGATGGAAATCTAGCATCCCCAAGGTGTTCCTCTACGACTCCGGTCCGGAATCAGCACCTGGGCGACCCGGAGTAAATATGGTGGGGTCATGCCCACAATCAGGGATGAGGGGGAGACCCCTCACTCCGCAGGCGTGGCTGGCACAGGCAGCGCGAACGAGAAATCAAGCCAGAGTCAGCGCCAGCCAAGAACCTCCGAGGAGGG